TTAGAGATAGCGAAGCTTTGGTGGGATAATTCCGAGTTGCATAACTTGTTAACTAGAGTAGTTCGAGAGAATGCTTCTAGTAAATTATCGTAATTGATCGAGAGATAATTACGGTAGCCTGGAACTCATAATCCTCATTGAGTATTACGGCGAGATTATATCTAACGTGTCAGGAATTAGTCCGGCAATTGGGAAAATCAATAGGCCTAGATCCTTTTTACTGTTGAATTCAACCTTATTCTTGATTATTGCTAATTTTGTGTCATTTATCATTAGATAAATAAATTCCACTTATACTCCATTAAAAATCTTGCATCCGGAAGTTATTTGAGCTTATCATTAGCATTGTTAAAAGTTATAGTAAATAGGTTAGTTCCATGTGGGATTCGACTCCGTATTTGAACTGGATTATATTTGCAGCGACCGCTTAATCCTTTTTACAAGGCATAGTTGGGCATAATATGTTAAAAAACTAACGGTGTTACCCAACTCTGAAAATCTTCTGCTCTGNATATATATATATATATTTCGGTTAATTTTTCCAAAAAGAAAAGTTAAAATTTTAAAAACATAGAGCTACGAGGATCACTTCTAGGCATATTATTGAAGCAAACGAATAACCAAGTTATATTGTCACTTTTAGCCCGTGGCAGAAACTATTTACATCTGGTAGCGAAAAAAGTATATAAAATTTATATAATTTTTGTATATTAACATACAAAATGTATATATATACAAATTTTATATATTTTTCGGTTATTTTTTTTACAACGGCTATACATTGTCATTTTCTCATTGAAAACTGGCACAAAAGGGGATATTTTCAAGGTCAAAATTTTAGAAGACATTATCTAAATATGAGAAATTACAGTGATAATTTGCGGTATCCAATAAAAGGAGAGGTAACGTTTTGCTTCAGAGCAGAAGATTTGCTTCATGAATCAGTATTGGGTAACACCATTAGTTTTTGAACATATTGTGTTAGTGAGACTAAAAGTGCTCCACTTTAGCATACTTAAGTGACTAAATATGCTCAAGGCTATATTTGAGGGACCAAAATAGACCTACCCTCAAAGATAAGGGACAATATTATCCAAAAACTCCATGATTTGCTATGTATTTGTTATACATAAGATAATATCAAATAGGATGTATAATTAATACAAGTATTAGGACAAGAGTGGTTGCTCTAGTGGCTAGCACCATCCACTTCCAACTAAGAGGTTGTGAGTTCGAGTCACCCCAAGAGCAATGTGGGGAGTTCTTAGAGGGAAGAGAGCCGAGGTCTATCGGAAATAGCCTCTCTACCTCAGAGTAGGGGTAATGTTTGTGTACAAACTACTCTCCTAGACCCCACTAGTGAGATTATACTGGGTTGTTGTTGTTGTTGTTATTGTAATTAATACAAGTATTAACTATACATATGTGAGAAAACATACCAAACAAGAAATTCGTAATGCACAAAGCTAATGCTTGCATTGTTTTTTTTTAATATCTCCTACCAAATTACCCTTAAGTGGTTGTAATTTTTGTTGCGGCATAAATGACATCTTCATATTACGTTAAATGGGATAAAAAGTTGACTAAGAATATGGGATGCATGACACATGGATTGAACTAACTATAATGACTAAATAATTTTGATTGTATTAAATAATTTTTTTTAAGTAAAAGCACATATTTTAATCCATGCAATATTAATTCTTACGTTACGATACCTTACAACTTGTTTGGATGGTTGTTACACATTGTATTATATTGTATTATTATTTTAAAATAATATTTTAGTTGGTTCTTTATTTAAAGTTGATTTTATTATATTGTTCAATTCATTGTTCCGAAACAATAAAAAATCTCATTTTACGAAACAACCGATTTGATGTGGTGAGATTGTTTTCTATTTTTATTTTCAATTATGCCCTTTTTTATTATTCCATAATTCTATTTTATACTTCTGCTTCTTTACTCCATACTTTTTCTTCTTTCGTCCAACATTTTGGTTTGTTTGCTCTCTTCCTTTTTTGTATCTTTTTATCTCAATCTATAGTCTCTGGATACATTTTGTTGATTAACAACTTAATTTGCTCAGGTTTCTACCCTTAATTTGAAACGACAAGTACTTTTTTTTTTGTTCATGGTCATATTTTTAGGTTATTGCGCTACAACTATGCCTAGTTTTGAAGATTTTTATTTTGTAGTAAACCGTATAATCTGATAATGTAATTTATCAAGTTAAAAACATGGTTTAAAGTTTGGGATAAGCTTATCACGTTTGTTTGCAGCTACATCGTATATCATTAATACTCACATTCTTATGAGAGAAACAAAAGCATCTAACCAAATATGGTATAAAATAATGGTGTATTTAGTGTAGGAATTAAATCCCATCAAACCCCAACCAAAGGACACATCACACATGAATGTATTACCTAGAAAATCTGACCGTGCTTCGCGCGATCGATAAAACAAGCTATAATTTTGTAGTCATATTCTCATGTTGGATATTAAATATGAAGAAAATGAAAAACGAAGTTCATCAATTTCAACATCAAATAAATCGGAGGTAAACAGTCATTGATAGTGAAAAATGTCAGTTATAACATTTATTTGTAATAATGTAAACTTAAATTTTGTAAATGCAATAACATAATATTCGTATATACACAATTATATTCACAGGCATTCTTTGTATGATTTATCTGATAATGCTCCTTTAAATATTTTGTTTCTAACGTGTACTTATTCATATTTCAAATATTATATCCGCATTTGTGTGATTCTTGTATACATCTCATCCATGGAAGCTTCATGTTGTTTATTTACATCTTTAACAAAAGTCGAATATAGTTATAATATTGCAAAGAATAATAAAGTAATAAAATTATTTAATTTCGCATAAATAATTTACCAAATAATTATTCAAGAAAGTTTGACGTCGATGATTTATAATATGTTTATCCATTGTAGAACTAGAAATCATGTATGATGTAAGACAATTTTTATCGTGAAGATATAAGCATATGGTGAATTATATTATTAGTATATATTTAATTAGAGCTCTATAAGAATGCATTATTTTATATGTGTAAATCTTTATGCTCATTAGGGACAAAACATGCAGAAATGCATTGTAACGCAACAAATAAAATTGCTACATAAAATACGTCATTAGACAATATAATATAAGGTTTTTGAAGGATTGAATATATTAGAATTCTAAATATTATTATTATCCAAATATAAATAATTATCAGATGAGCAAAACTATATATGTATACATGGATTTGTTTGTAGTGAAAATATGGACTTTTTGAACTCTTTTTGATAGGAAGAGCATTTTGTAATTGCTATTATGAATCAAACATATTCATATAAAGATAATGCATAAAATTTTAAAAGGAGAATATGATATGAAATGGTACTGTTATACATATCAAATTAAAGTGCATACGATGATACAAATATCTATCAAATGGAATGGAATAATCATTCATTTCATGAATCAGCCAAATATTGTACAAATCATCATCTTAAGGGCTCCTCAAGCCGTTGTAGAATCCTTTTGCTCCCTTTAGTTTCTCGCATTTGTTGAGCTTTTATGTTGTAAGATTCATGTTAATATTTTACCGTAACTAATAAATTTGAACTACATTCCAGGAAAAACAATTTGACCACTGCTATTGCTTTTGTTCAAAGAATAAATAGGCGGCCAATAGTATAGATGCCAGGATAAATTGCCAATTAAATAGAATTTCACAGTTTAAATGTGAGCATATCGATCAATTATAGCATTGTGAAGGATGTAAGCAATAAAATTGAATAAGAGAAGAAGGACAGATGGATTAACATAAAATAAAATAAAAAGTGAAAAAACTTCATTTAAAAGGAACTATTTGTGCGAAAGAATGTGATTTGTGTAGAACAATAGAACAATAATGTATAGTATAGAAACAAACCCAATATCTAAAAGCTGCTCCTCTTCTTATTGTTGTTATGGTTTGTGTAATACTGAATCAATCTCTCATCTTCCTTGTATGTGGTCTCTCTTGAATTTGTAGGGAAAGATTGAATAAATGTTTCAATGGTTGGATATCTTGAAAAAAAGATGAGCATCAAAATTTTGAATGAGAATAGGAGGATGATTAGGGAATTGTCTTGTTTTTGTACTAGGAAAGAGTTGTTAGTGATTATGTTGCGCGAACTTTTCAAAATGTTGTCGTACCCATATCGGATCCTCTAAAAGTACACTATTTTTGGAGGATCGGACACGCACCCGGCATTATTTTCGAAAAGCTCGAGCAACATAGGTTAGTAATTTGGTGGAATAATGAGAAAATGGGATGGTAAAGAGAAAAATGAGAGAATAAGAGTATACTAGGTGGGGCTGCCCGTGCCAGCACAAGCCCAACATTATTTAACTTTGTATGATTTCTAATTGTAGATATAAGAAAATTGATATTGTAAGTGTAGAATCGAGTAGAAAATATTGCATGCTAATTGGTAGATGCCTATTTACATACAATTTGATCAAAAAAGATATTGTTAGCATCACATTAAGGGGTGCTTAAAGTGTCACGTTAGTTACAACAGGTATTACATAACTATTTATATATTAACAAAAGGTGATGCGTTATGTATTCGGTGTTTGGTCTTTTTTCTGATCTTCTTTTTTTTTAGTAGTTCTTGATAAAAAAAAAAATGCCTGCAAACATGCCTTCTCTGTGCATGTTCTAGATTTTGGATGAGATTTATTATGACATGTTTTTATATGCTTAAAGAACTTTTTACTGATCTGTTTAGCTAACTGGTCAATGAACTGGTAAGCCTAACATAAATATAATGTATCTCAAGTGAGTTATTAAAATTATAGTTTTCACGACCCTAATTTTTCTCCGTATGATGTCGTGATGGTACCTAATCTCTAAGACTAGGTAAGCCTAATATACATGCGAAATATGACTGAAATAATGATAAAACTCTCAATTACTCAACAACTATCATAAAAGAAATTTCGCAATTTAGCATAACAAACTTCCCAAAATTCGGTGATAAACAAGTCACAAGCTCTACGAATAAGTACTGATCATCCCTATACAACAATGTCTATAAAAGGGAAAGAAAATGAAGTAGACTAGATAAAGGGTGACTCTGAGGCCTGCGGATGCCGGCAGGTATACCTTAAAGTCTCTGAAGCTGACCTCGTCTCACTAGTGCATGTACTGGTAGGAGGTACCTAGATCTGCACAAAAAAGATGTGTAAAAACATAGCATGAGTACATCACAACGGTACCCAGTAAGTACCAAGCCCAACCTCGGTAAAGTAGTGACGAGGTCAGGTCAAGGCCCTACTGAAATAAATAAGAAACCAAACCGGTATATAACAGTGTAACAATGATAACAAAGGAAATGAAACAATAAAGAATTATACCAAGATTAGCTATACTGAACTAAGGCAATAATGCATCACGGAAGAAAACAAGGAATGATATGTCAAGGAAACAAGTAACCAAAACACAAGTACAGTAATAGAAATGTATCAACAAGAATCACTACCGAGATATTGCCTCGTAGTCTCAAATCACAAAACGATTCACAATCTTTCCTTATATCACAGCGGGAGCCTTGCATTTAGTTTTGAAAATTATTTTTCCCGAAATAGCTTTCCGTGTTTTAGCCCACCTTATCACACTGCGTGGCTTCAAGCAGTTCCCCTACTAGCAACACGCGTATCAAGCCCACCTTATCTCACCACATGCGTTTCAACCCCAATCCTTATACCACCACATGCGTATCTATATCATAATGTATCACAAATTACACCTGAAGTCAACAATAATGGTGTTTCCACAATAAATAGCCCATGATTCAACCACAATATGCACAAGAGTCTCAACAATAGCAACTGGAAGTGAATAACTCAACAAGAATAGTATTTCACAATTTAACAACTTTGCCTCGATGTGAATCACGACCTTTATAACTCAATATCAATTTCAACAACAAGATATTCCAAGAATAACAATTTCAAGTAAGGAGCTCAACGGTTAAATAATTAATAAGGAATAGAGGAAATTATAATTTCAACTAGGCATGTAAAGGCAAATACCAAGTAAGAGGTAAGGAAAGTAAAACATGTGAAGATCGACTAAAGATGATAAATATAGCATATTATGGTAACTCAATTAAAGGCATGAAAAGAATCTACATAGCTAGAACCGATCAATTACCAAATTTAGCCCGTGTACACACTCGTCACCTTACGTACACAGCTTCCACACATCACAATTAACACAAAACAACACCAATCCTAAGGGGTAATCCCCCCTCCCCCTCTCGCAAAGTTAGGTAAGACACTTACCTCAAAACACGTTAACTCAATCCACTAGTAAGCCTTTCCCTCGATTATTAAACTCTGAATGGCTCGAATATAGCCAAAACAACTTCATACCATAAATATAAACTACAGGAAACTATTTCGAACAATAAAGTTACGATCTTTAAAGTGAAATAAAAAGTCAACTCTCGGGCCCGCGTATCAAAATTCGACCAAAATTACAAAATTCGAACACTCATTCGATAACGAGTTCAACCATACAAAAATTACTCAAATCGCCTTTCAAATCCGCAAAATTTAGTCTAAGAAGCTTTCATAATTTTTTCCAAATTTTCAACTCAAATCACTAATTAAATGATGAAAATAACAATGGATTCATGAAATATAGCCAAAACCGAGTTAGAATCTCTTACCCCGATGATTTCCTTGAAAACTTTCGAAACATCACCGCAAATCGAGCTCTCTGCGTCCAAAAATAAAAATGAGATCAAACCCTAGAAGACCCTTATTTCTGCCCAGTGATGTCACTTCTGCGGGCATGGGGTCGCACACCGCACCTGCGGAATTTCCATCGCAGGTGCGGTTCCAACTTAGGCTCTGAAGGATCGCACCTGCAGAACCCATAAGTGCATTTGCGCAACCGCATCTGCGGAAGGTCGGTCGCATCTGCGCATTCGCTTCTGCTCGCCATTGACCGCACCTGCGGTCCCAGCTGGGCAAGACCAAATTAAGTTCTGCAGCTCGAGGGTCGCACCTGCGGCCCAAAGTGAACAAGTGTGATTGCACCAGACACAGCCAAGCTTCAGCAATCACACAAGTCCAAATTTGTTTCGGATTCAATCTGAATCACACCCGGAGCCCACGGGACCCCGTCCGAATATACCAATAAGTTCCAAAATACATAACGGACCCACTCGAGGCCAAAAATCACATCAAACAACATTGATTCAACGAATCACAACCCAATTCAAGCCTATGGAAACTATGAACATCCGAATTCCAAAACTAATGTCGATTCATACCAAAACAACTCCGATCGACCTCAAATTTTTCACACAGGTTATAAATTACATGACGAACCTATGCGAACTTCCGAAATTGGAATCTGATCCCGATATAACTAAATTCAACTCCCGATCAAATTTCACAACCTTCCAAACCTTCAATTTTCTAACTTTCGCCAATTCAAGTAAAACGACATACGGACCTCCAAATCAACATCCGGACACACTCCTAAATCCAAAATTACCATACGGAGCTATTGAAACCGTCAAAACTCCATTCCGGAGTCGTCTATACAAAAATCAAACTACGGTCAACTCTTTCAACTTAAGCCTCTAACTTAGGGATTATATGTCCCATTTCATTCTGAAACTCACTGAACCCAAAACCAAACATCCCGACAAGTCACATAACCATAATACAACATAGAGGATTATGTGTCCCATTTCATTCTGATTATCGAATTGAAATTTTTCGACTGCCGCTGTGAGATACCTTTACGGTGAAATTGGCAAATCCTCGAAACTTTCCTACACACGGGTTTGGGAGGCAGCAGCATTCAGCAGATTTGGAAGCGCGTCCGGACATCCCCGACTGTGATCCAGGTTCCACCTTTCTTGAATTGTATTTGCGCACATCTATTTACTGTTGCCTTGCCAGCAATTTTAATTGGATTGCTTGCTTTTTCTATCTTTTCTACTAGTATTTTAAGCTTAAGGTTTCATCTATCCATTTTAATTCTGTGTTTGCATAGGGGTAGTTTCTTAGACGTGGTAGATTCATTGTTCTAGTGCCTGCTCGCGTTACTGTTCGCGTAGTAGCTCCTTTGAGTTGTTTTTAGCTCTCGGGTTCGTAGCTTGTAGTCATTCGTCCCTGCTACTTGTTCTTAGTGGTAGTGTTTACCCAATACCTTTGGTTTATAGTGGCGGTAGTGAACGATGTAAGAGTAAGGTCATGTCCTCGGGTGGGGCTGGGGGAGGGGTCCAGGGGTGGGAAAAGGGTAAGAAAGCCTTTAGGCTGAGAGTTGGGTCTTGGAACATTGGGACGTTGACAGGGAAGTCTATAGAGTTAGGTAAGATTCTTCAGAAGAGGAAGATCAACATAGCGTGTGTTCAAGAGACTAGATGGAAGGGTACTAGGGCACGAGATGTAGACGGGTTTAAACTATGGTACTCAGGAAGCGCTAGGGGTAAGAATGGGGTAGGTATTTTAGTAGACAAGGACCTCAGGGAGCTCGTGGTCGAGGTTAGGAGGGTAAATGATAGGTTGATGAGTATTAAGCTGGTAGTTTGTAGGTTTACTGTAAACGTGATTAGTGCATACGCTCCTCAGGTAGGTTTGGACCAAGAGGTCAAGAAGCAATTGTGGGAGGATTTGGACGAGATGGTGCGTAGTATCCCGCACACAGAGAAGTTGTTCATTGGCGGAGATTTCAATGGCCATATTGGAACTAGTGCTAGGGGTTATGATGATGTGCATGGCGGGTTCAGTTTTGGAGATAGGAATGAGGGAGGTAATTCACTGCTGGATTTTGCTAGAGCTTTTGATTTGGTTATAGCTAACTCGAGTTTTCCGAAGAGGGAAGAGCACCTGGTCACTTTCCGGAATTCAATGGGCAAGACTCAGATTGATTATCTTCTCTGCAGGAAATGCGATAAAGGTATGTGCACTGACTGCAAGGTCATCCCAAGTGAGCACCTCACGACGCTACATAGGCTCTTAGTTATGGACCTAGAGATCAAGATGAGTAGGAGGAAGAGGGTGGGGTACAGGCAACCTAAGATCAAGTGGGGTAACTTGACCAAGGAAAAAGCTCAGGAGTTAGGGGATAAGTTGTTGGCTATGAGGGCCTGGACGAGTAGGGGGACGCATCTAGTATGTGGTTCACGACTGCGAATTGCATTAGGGTAGCTGCTAGAGAGGTCTTAGGGGTTACGAAGGGCTCTCCTGGGGGTCATAAAGGGGATTGGTGTTGGAATGGAGAGGTTCAAGGTAAAGTGGAAGCTAAGAAAGCTGCTTATTTGAAGCTAGTGGAGAGTACAAACGAGGAGGAAAAAAGACTTATCAGGAGTGTTACAGAAAGGCAAAGAAAGAGGCGAAGTTAGCAGTTACAACGGCTAAGAACGCGGTGTTTGCTCGTTTGTTTGATAAGCTCGGGGGCAGAGGCGGGGACAAGAAGTTGTACCGGTTGGCCAAGGTAAGGGAGAGGAAAACCCGCGACTTAGACCAAGTCAAATGCATCAAGGACGAGGATGGCAAAAATGTTGATGGACGAGGCACTTATTAGGAGAAGATGGTAGACATACTTCCATAAATTGTTGAACGAGGATAGGGATAGAAGCATTGTGCTGGGTGAGTTGGAGCACTCTGAGAGTCGGCGGGATTTTTGGGTACCGTAGGCGGATTACGGTAGAGGAGGTGGAAGGGGCGATGCGTAAGATGTGCAGGGGCAGAGAGACGGGGCTAGACGAAATTCCGGTGGAATTATGGAAGAGCGCGAGGCGGGCAGGTTCGAAGTGGCTCACTGGGCTGTTTAATGTTATTTTTAAGACGAAAAAGATGCCCGAAGAATGGAGGTGGAATACGATGGTTCCGCTTTACAAGAACAAGGGTGATATCCAAAATTGCAACAATTATAGGGGTATCAAGTTGTTGAGTCACACTATGAAGGTTTGGGAGATGGTGGTTGAGGCCAGGGTGAGGAGGTGCGTGTCTATTTCTGAGAATCAGTTTGGATTCATGCCAGGGCGTTCGACTACGGAAGGGATTCATCTGGTAAGGATATTAGTGGAGCAGTACAGGGAGAGGAAGAAAGATTTGCATATGGTGTTTATTGACCTTGAGAAAGCGTATGATAAAGTCCCGATGGAGGTACTGTGGAGGTGTTTGGAGGTTAGCGGCGT